GTGTTATTTCATGTTGCATTATAAGCAGCCTGGGAGAAGGCTGGCTGATGGAATGCTACTGAGCTTTATTGAGCTAACTGCCTCTAAAGGTTACTCTGTGGAAGAGAAAGGTTTCCTTCCATGATACTCGAATACTATGATCTCAAATACTATGTCAACGTGCATGTACATGGGGAGGGAGAAGGTTTCATTAAATCTCTTAAAAAATAAACATGTAGCAGAGAAAACAGAAGGCTGTGGTAAAGAAAGGAACAAACCCACAGCATATTCCCTGGAGGTGAATGTTCAAGCAAAAATGGTTCCATTACTATCTACTATTGTCCGGCTTACGACACGATACATAGTTCTCAAGTGAGAAAATTATTTCACAATCTTCCCAGGTCTCAAATCGATTATGAAAGACATGAAAGAGCATATGGGCGCTCTGCAGCTAATCCCAGTATTCTCTCTTTGTATCGCACGTACTCTCTCTATCATTCTCTCTATCTGGATAACAATCCCTTTCAGTATCAGTCTCTCTTTACTCTCTTTATATAGGTCCCCTTACTATATGTCACTCTTTAATTCTCTCTCTTAGGAGAATGCCAGGACTTGGGTCATTAGTTAGATAAGACAAGTTGCATGTTAGTAGAGAACACATTTTGTTTAGTGACAAGGAGTTCTTGATGAATAATTCAACAGAGGATGTGATGTATAAATAGTGAAAGATGAAATATGCAGAGGAGCACATTATGCTGTCCTTTATCTGGGTTCGGTTGAACTTTCTTGGCACAAGGGAACCAATTAAGTTGTCGTCAAATAGCAATTCAAGCCAGTATTTTACCTTCCACAGCCTGACATGTCTCTCCCATGGCCTAGCTAGTGAAGTGTGAACAGGACATTCCTCCTATGGCCTATCTAGCTGAGCATGTACAGGTGCTGGTCATATAATTAGAATATCATCAAAAAGTTGATTTATTTCAGTAATTCCATTCAAAAGTATAAATTCACACAGACTGATATATTTCAAGTGTTCATTACTTTTAATTTTCATGATTATAACTGACAACTAATGAAAACCCCAAAATCAGTATCTCAGAAAATTTGAATATTGTGAAAGAGTTCAATAAATTGTCTCTCAGTCTAGTTCTGTAGGCTACACAATCATGGGGAAGACTGATGACTGCCTTGACAGCTGTCCAAAAGACGACCATTGACACCTTGCACAAGGAGGGCAAGACACAAAAGGTCATTGCTAAAGAGGCTGGCTGTTCACAGAGCTCTGTGTCCAAGCACATTAATAGAGAGGTGAAGGGAAGGAAAAGATGTGGTAGAAAAAAGTGTACAAGCAATAGGGATAACCGCACCCTGGAGAGGATTGTGAAACAAAACCCATTCAAAAATGTGGGGGAGATTCACAAAGACTGGACTGCAGCTGAAGTCAGTGCTTCAAGAACCACCACGCACAGACGTATGCAAGACATGGGTTTCAGCTGTCACATTCCTTGTGTCAAGCCACTCTTGAACATGACACAGCGTCAGAAGCATCTTGCCTGGGGTAAAGACGAAAACTGCTGGACTGCTGCTGAGTGGTCCAAAGTTATGTTCTCTGATGAAAGTAAATGTTGCATTTCCTTTGGAAATCAAGGTCCCAGAGTCTGGAGGAAGAGATGAGAGGCACAGAATCCACGTTGCTTGAAGTCCAGTGTAAAGTTTCCACAGTCTGTGATGGTTTGGGTTGCCATGTCATCTGCTGGTGTTGGTCCACTGTGTTTTCTGAGGTCCAAGGTCAACGTAGCAGTCTACCAGGAGGTTTTAGAGCACTTCATGCTTCCTGCTGCTGACCAACTTTATGCAGATGCAGATTTAATTTTCCAACAGGACTTGGCACCTGCACACAGTGCCAAAGCTACCACTACCTGGTTTAAGGACCATGGTATCCCTGTTCTTAATTGGCCAGCAAACTCGCCTGACCTTAACCCTATAGAAAATATATGGGGTATTGTGAAGAGGAAGATGTGATACACCAGACCCAACAATGCAGAAGAGCTGAAGGCCACTAACAGAGCAACCTGGGCTCTCATAACACCTGAGCAGTGCCAAAGACTATATAAAATATTCAAATTTTAGGAGATACCGAATTTGGGATTTTCATTAGTTGTCAGTTTTAATCCTCACAATTAAATGAAATAAACATTTGAAATATGTCAGTTTGTGTGTAATGAATGAATGTAATATACAAGTTTCACTTTTTGAATGGAATTACTGAAATAAATCAACTTTTTGATGATATTCTAATTATATGACCATCACCTGTATATATACATACATGCAATATATATCGTATAGTTCAATGAAATGCTAAACAAAATGTTATGTACACCACTTCCCAAAGAATCTCAAAAAACTAAAACTTTGAGACCAAGATAATTATATAAACCTCACTAATGGCAGACAAAGATTTATGAATGTAACACTCACCTCAATTACTGTGACTTTGAAATAATGCTAAGCAAAGTGAAACATACCCCAGTCAACTAAATAGCCCAGCTGATTGGCCCAAATGAATGGTGAATGAATCAAAACAAATACACTGTAAATAAAGTGTAAAAAACAATTGTGATACCTGCTATGGCATTGACCAAGCAGATACATTTTTTATATAACGAGGGAAAGATTGAGACCAAGGTCTCATTTGCAAGCGTGCCCTGGGAACATCAACTCATGAATACAACAACAATTAAAGACAGATACATACAATTAACAGACATACTGTCACAAGTGGTGAGGTTTGTGGTCTACACTGGGTTTTGAGGGATGAGCATTTCCTGTTCTGAGGTATCTTGTTTTGATAAATACACACTGGGGTGAATTAGCTGTTATTTAAGTTTCAAGGGAGTGCACCACTTTTTCGGTTATTGTTTCAAGTCATGTTACGTTGTGGGTGAGTGTTTGTTGTGGTTGTCTGTACTGGTCAAATGTTTGGCTACCTCTACTGTCTGCAACTCACCCAAAATGTACCCACTTAAATTGGGCAACAATAACAGTTCTATAATCAAAGACTTCAAGTTTAATAACGACCCGACAAGATATTCATAACAGAAGTTGTAAAGGAATATCTAATCTACTGTTAACGCTATAAGCAATGCTCTAATAATCATGTGGGATTTTAAGTAAAGAAAAAAATCCACATGGTACCGTCTCATTTCAATTATGAGTTTACAATCTTTACCTTGAAGAGTGCATTTTGAATAATACCGTAATTTTGTTCCCAAACACACCCTCCCAAGTGCTCCGTGCGATAAACAAGTTGTTACAGCAAAACTGTAATGCTAGTACTGTAATGTGCACTTTGTAACGCATTACCCCGAACCCTGATTACATGTACTATCACAAAGAGGCTAGAAATAGAGCCACAGGAAGCGTTGAACAGCTGTCACAGTCATGGCTGTGATTTCACTTGAAACAAGACAGCCTGTGATGAGTTTAATCCAGAGAGAGAGAGAGAGAGAGAGAGAGAGAGAGAGGGATTGAGGTAATGAGGTAAACAAATTGAGTGAGAGAGAGAAGAAAAAAAAAGAGATTGAAGGCAGAAGCAATCAAAGCGAGATGGAAATAGCGAGAAAGAAAAACAAGGTGCAAGAAGCTTGTATGATGGAAAAAGAGAGTGAAATTGTGAACCCTCCCTCCACTTTCTGGTTCTATGTGCTTTCAGGTGACAGTTTTTAATTTATTTGACTGGGTAGGGCACATTTCACCATGTTTTGTGTGATAGTTTGCGTAGATATTTTGATAGGGTTTGATTCAGCAGTTTCCCAGCCATCCTCACACACTTTTGCATGTACGACACTGATCTAGTTAGCACATTTGGAGCCCTGCTCAAACAAGTAAGCTGACTGGTTTGACGTTTTGCATGGTACCACTGAATTACTGCAGTTCCCAAACACAATTGTTTCCTTTTAATTCAGATCTCATGGCTTCTAGTTTAAGTAAATGACTAAATGACTCATACAGGCCTCATTGTTATGTACAAAACATTTTTCAGTCCGTATTGAAACAAGAACCAATATGTGTTGTCACTGGAATGCGGACAAAAACATCAAGCACAAACTAATTATTATATAAATTTTTCTCACTCTCTGCCTTGCTTCTTGTCTTTTTGTCTAACACACAGAAACACACACACAGACACATCTGTGCTGAGATAATTGAGTGCTATTTATGCTATGTTGCCGTTTGCAGAATGATTGATTTGGGGAAAGCTTATCAATTCTTTCATAATAAGATAAGTGTTTTGTACAGTAAAAAAATATAAGTGACAGCAGTAGCAGAATGACTATAACTCAGCAGCTACTCTTTGTGGTTAGGTATTGGTTTATAGTGAATGAAATTGGCAGATTTATTCAGCTGTAGCATCAAAATGCATAGACATTTATTTTTGTTTCTCTTACATAGTTGATAAGCAATCATTGACGCCTTCCAGGTTATGCTTTTTATAATGCTGCGCTTTTATATAGCGCTTTCATCCAAAGCTTTACAGATCCTGCCTCACATCCACCCATTCATTCACTCATTCATACACTGACGACCACGTCTACCATGCAAGGCGACTGCAGGCTCGTCAGGAGCAGCTGGGGTTAGGTGTCTTGCTCATGGACACCTCGACAATTACCCTGGGATCGAACCACCAACCTTCCGATTGATAGACAACCGACTCAACCTAGTGAGCCACTGCCGCCCCAGTCTTTGAAGCTATCAAATGAATGCTATGAATGCTAGGATGCAAGTTGTTGACCCTGAATGCTGATGACTATAAAAGATTGTTCATTTTTAAGCCTTTTGACGCGAATACACCAGGAATACAAATGCAAACATAACCGCCATTTAAATAACAGTCAAAACATTCTAGACAGTTCTGAAACCCATCCTAGTCCCATTTCAAGGTACATTGTTCTAATGGACAGAGTTCTCTGCATGGATCATCAGACTACTTTTCTCCATCTGTGAATCAGACTGGAGCAGTTGGTGTAGCTCAGTGGTAGACTACATGTTCTGTATGTGTGATATCCTGGGTTCAATCCCCAGCTTCTCCTCAGGTTACTGTTGCAAATGAGAATTTGGTCTACCTGGTTAAATAAGGCTAAAGAAAATGTCTGAGACCAAATGACCCATCAATAATAGAACATTGTGCACTCCTCCCATTTTTCTTCATCTTCCTCCTCGATTGTTATAAAGAACCCATACAGAACCATTTGCCCATGCCTTAAATATCTAAATGCACTGCCCTGCCTGGCACAGTCCAACTCTTAACTTATTTAACCAACTTAACTCCAGCTATGTCATTTTTAGAAGACATGAAATATTTAGTTTGAAGTACAAAAATGCCAGACAGACAAGTTTGCTGCGTTGCACTGACTTGGCATCAAGTTAGTTATAATTCATTAACCAGTTCAAAACAGACTTCAACTTCTCATCTCACTGCTCTTCACTTTTTGTATTGCAATATTAATGGTGGTTCCCCATGTGTTGCAGCTACCTTCTGTTTCCAAGCGTTCTGCAGCTGACACATATAGTTTAGTAATGCTGTCTCTGATTCTTCTCTCAGAGTCCTCTATGTTATGTAGCTCGGACCATGGCATATTCTGTGTTATCTCTAGCTATGAATCAGTTACATTTATTTAATGAATATACAGATCCCCAAAGAGCAAGCAATGCTTATGACACCGTAAAAATAACTACCCATTGAATGCAGGAATATAGGAAGTAAACTTTTTGAACGGGCCAGGCTATAGGGCTATATCCAGGCTATATGCCCAGTTCAAAATATTCAGGTTATCAGCGAGTCCAAAACATTTACTTTTCAGGTGCGTATGTAAAAGACAGTTGACTTTTCATAGACAAGCGTAAAAATTGTTCACAGTGGTTATAGTTGCAAAATCTTTTGTCGCCTGAGAATGAAAACCTAAATGCCGATTGGCTTTTCCTATAGGTGTTTTTTCAGGGGATAAGACAAAAATAGGATCTCAAGGTTGAGACAAAATAGATATGCAACCAGGTGGATTGTGCACAGGGACATCCGGGACCCAGCAGGAACAAGATCAGCAGCGTGACAGATCCCTTCTAAGCAGACCTGGGGGAGAGTGACCCAGGCAGGGCTGTATATCTGTAGGGAGGCTGGGAGAGGCACCTCCCCACCAGGACCTCCTCCTATTTGGTTCCACAGGTCTCCGGCTCTCTGCTCTCTACGTCTGCCTAGAGAGAGAGAGAGAGAGAGAGAGAGAGAGAGAGAGAGAGAGAGAGCGTGTGGATAAGAACTGTCTCCCTCGTCTGCTATGGTGGCTGTTGAGGTCAATAAATGTAGGACACTTCTATACTCCACTCATATGGCCTTGCCTGCTGTATTGGATACCATCCAGTGTGTAGAAAATGCCATCTATGCAGGGGCCAGTTGTGGCTTTACAGAATTTTGAGGAAGAAGGAATGGCAATTAAAAAGCCCAAATAGTGAATTAGGAGGAAAGAAATTAACATAAACATCATGCTTGCACAATTAACAGTATTTCTTAATGTACTTACATGGAGAGTCACAATTCACTTGAGGTCTCAACAACAATGGAATATGGCTCTGAATTATTTTCACCTTCTTAACCTATATTTAGACAAATCGTTAGTCTATAAGTGGAGAGGTTAAGACATTACGATATACTAAACACACACACTCACAAGAAAGCCTGCCACCCCCCTTCCTGCCAAGTGCCATATAGACAGAGTTGTTTCAGACTGCTGTTAATTTGTTAACTTGACCTTCAGCAGCGATAATATAGGAAGCAGAAATGAGTTGAAGGAGAATCCTCGCATCTGAGACGACTATTCCTCTCCCGCTATAGTGTACAAGGGTTTGCGCGTAAAAAAATAACATCATGGTCTCTCTCCGCTACGCACATCGCAAACGGTGAAATGGACGGTCTGAAAAGCAAAGGTGGAGCAGAGAGGGAGATGACAAAAAATTAGAAAGACCCTTGCCACAGACGCTGCTAAATGTGGCAAAATAAGCATGTTTCCCAGTAAGGTAACAGTAAGGTACCTGGTCAGTCAAAACACTAGCAAAAACACAAAACATTGACTCACTCCCAATATCCAGCATGGCTAGCTAAGAAGGCTAGCTAATATTAGTGACACAACGGCTGGTAGGCTAAAGAGTTTGGACGTCTTTGTGGATGTGTGATATCATCGCAATGAGTGCAACATAATGATAATATGACACTGAAGGCAATATGTTTCAACTAGTAAAATATAGTGAACCTAGACTGAGGACCTGTCAGAACTCAGCCATGAGTCAGACCATATAAGCTAGGAAAAGTGCACAAACACTGTACATAAAAACAGGCTACAGTAACATCACCAAAATACATTTCACAGACGTAATACAGTAGCCTGTGTGACACAGCACAGACAATGACAAATAGCATTAGTGCCATTAGTACCAGTATTACAAGTTAATACAAAAAATACAGCTCTGGGCAAAATTAAGAGACCACTCCAAATTAAGAGACTCTGAATTGTTCCCAGTGCTCTATTAATGTAGCCAACTGCTTCATTAAGGATGTGAATATTATAATAGAGCCTTTTCTTTGCAGAAGGAAGCAGCAGTGGCACTAGAGCTTCATATGCTCCAACTGAACTGGAGATGGTTGTCAGTTCAGAGTTCACAGGACAGGAACCTTCAGGTACAACTTATGGATACAAACCTAAAAATGTAGCCTGAGATTTACATGATTGTGTTCCTCGGTTATGTAATCAGGGGCTAAGAACCAATGACTGCAGAAATTATTTAAGTATAGGTTATTTATAAGGTTAATTTTTCATTTTACAGTTTTGAAAGCAAATGACTACACCTGAATAGAGACGACTAATTAACAAAACAAAATGATCAAAATAAAGAATAACAGAAATGGCCATCTGTGTTAAGTAGCCTTGTCTAGGTCTTCTCGCAGTTCCACTGGAATGTCTATGTAGTGGCCTTCTGTAGCATAAAAAAATGAAGAACACATTTCTCATATTGGCCAATATGTGTGCTGTCATTGGCGTATGCCATTGATTCCATTGAAGACCATGTATTTTGATAGATTTTGGTTACTTATTTTCAGGCTAGCAAATCATCCTTTTGTAGTTAAACAATTCCAAGCAATGTCTTCAATAATGTTAAAGACATGATTGCATGTTTTTTTTTAATAAATGGCAAATTAAATCAAGGATGAGAGATATTTCACATTTGTTACTGTGTATGATGACAATTTTGTGTTGGCCGTACAGCTACAACGTATACATGATACATTACACGTCAAGATATAGTGTATGGCTTCAGAGTGAGTTAATTAATTATTGTACTGCATGCAATTCATTACCTCTGCAAGTTACAGTCTGTGCTGTGTTATTTCTCTTTGGCATGAGAGGTATGACATATTACGGGTCCCACAGAGAGCTAGGAGAAAATCAAGGTGGAGCGATGCAGATGCAACGTAAACCAATGTAATAGAAATAGAAAGAGCACACTTCTGTGTTTTCTGTCGTGCGCACACAATGATGACATGTTCATCTGTGCACCTCTCCAAATCATTTATCGCGTACAGTCAAAACCGCCATCTTCAGTGCTCTCAGACAGCTGTAGTCTAATGCAACAGGATTCAACCACTGGCACATTTTGTGCGTTCGTGGACGGTCGGGCGGAAAGGAGCATAATTATAGTCATTTCAAACAGTAATTTAAACACCGCAAAACGAATAAAACAAGGCCTGAAAAAAGATTAGGATTGGAAAAACGATAATTTCATTCCTTGATTGTTTTCAAATCGGGTTCTGCCAATGACCTCTCTAACACTTCGGACACCACCTGGAACATTTACAAATATGTGTTTAAGTTAGATTAGAACAATCTATTCATACAAAAAATCTTTGTTCCATTGAAGATTTAATCTTGGTCAAATAAGGTGGAGTTATTTGTGATGCCAGGTTATTTGTAGATCAGATAACGCACAGAGCCTTTCTAGTAGAGAAGTTCCAGTAGTTAGTTCCACTGTGATTGACTGAGAGAGCAGATGGATCAGTGGGATATCTAGTCAGTATAAAGTGTCTCTGCAGGGTGAATGGTGATGCATACAGTATTTCTCAACCACCCTACCAAATATCTCCATATCCATCCCTGGGAGAGGGGACAGTTATTTTAGCTTCAGTTGGCATCACTCAACTCCAATCTGGAAACAGCATCTCCAATGCAAGGAGAGATGTAACCTTAATTTCACCGCTCTCATGTGTCTTCTGAAGGAAACACATTCTGAGCCATCTCAATGTCATGCTTATGGTTCATTTGCCTCTGGTCTTTAGAAAAATTACAAATGCAGTGTGTACGTGTGTTAACGTGTGTGTGTGTGTGTGCATTTTTGGTACAATATACCTGCTGTATCTCTGCCCGGTCTACTCTGTGTTGATGCACAGAGGTATAACACTAAACACTAAAGGACACTAAAGCATTTAAAACAGGTCAGGAATTTCTGTGATGGAAGGGTTGCTGGTCACCTGTCTGTCAATCAGCCGCTGGATATCTACACTATCTCACAAAAGTGAGTACACCCCTCACATATTTGATTATATCTTTTCATGTGACAACACTGAAGGAATGACTTTTTGCTACAATGTAAAGTAGTGAGTGTACAGCTTGTGTAACAGTGTATATTTGCTGTCCCCTCAAACTAACTCAACACACAGCCATTCATGTCTAAACCACTGGCAACAAAAGTGAAAATGTCCAAATGAGGGCTGTACTCACTTTTGTGAGATACTGTATCTCACTCACTGTCATCTAAGTTCCTCATCCATCTTTCTGTCACAACACCTTAAATACAGCACTTCCTCCATCTCCCTGTCCTAACAATATAAAGACAACAACTTCTCTATTTTCCTGTCACTACACTGTACACACGGCCCCTTCCCTATATTCCTCACTGTACTGTAAATGCAACACCTCCTTTTCTTTGTCACTACATTGTAAACACCTCGTCATTCTCCCTGTATCGACACTGTAAATATCACACCTCATTT